TAGTGACACTAAGACAAGTATGTAGGTGCTCATTAAGGGAATGAGTTCACTGAACACAATCGAACGAGAGTACTTGCATGGAGGTCTACTCACATGTCAAGCAAGTAACTCTTATGGTTGGAATAATGTAAGTAGTCCTTTGACCTGAGGCATTGTCGTTGTCTTGTGGTTAAGTACTTGATCTTTGATTATGTCAAAGTCACCCCATTCGCGGGTATCCAAGGCATAGTTGGGGTTAAGCCATTTAGTCATGAAGGCAAGTGAATGCGCAACAAGGAATCTCTAATCTTCGTTAAGAGAGGAAGAATACTCTAAGATATGATTCGGGAATCTTCGGCCGAAGTATCGAGCGTAATAAAGGAAAGCGTTCCTATACGACTCAATTGAATCATATAAGAAGGAATAATCACATTAGGGGTTTGACATAATATATCCATACCCTAATGATGTGATTGAGAGTATTGTTTTAGAGAAGGATCGAATTACATTGTAATTCCAACTGAATAGGTTCTCCGAACAAATTCTACATTAGCTTAGGTAGCCATGATATATGGTTAGATGTCACTCATGGCTTGTGAGTTCTTCTAGATGATTAAATGTAGTAGTCAAAGAAGAAGGTGAATTAAAAGGAAGTTTTAATTCACTAAGTGATTGGATTAAATATAATCAATTGGATTAGTGCCAATCACCTCACTGCCTTGCTAATTAGAACCTAAAATGATTGTACACCGATACACTCTTGTAGTGATAGCACTAATGGATGATGGAAATAATTAATTGGATTAATTAAGTGTTGTGATTAATTAGAAGGTCTAATGAAATCATAAAAGCGATATAAGATCGTTTTGGGCTTAAAGAAACGTTCGGGTTTTAATTGGGCCCATTGGGCCTAGACCCATTGGGCTTTTATTCAAGCATAGGATGACTTGAAATAATAAAAACTCAAAGCCCAAACCAAACACTAAAGGCCGGCCACTTAAAGGGAAAGGGAGAGAGAAGAAGTCAAGTTGTTGACTAGGTTTCTTTTTGTCTATATAAGGAACTTTATAGAGATAATTTTCATAAGGGTTTTTTGTGTGTTCAAAACAACAAAAGAGAAAAGAAAATATCTCTCTCTTAACACCCAAAAAGGCTGGCCACCATAAGGGAGTGTGAGCTAATCATCTTATCTCCCTTTTGGTCATTCCTCCATCCATCTCACTACACTAGTGGGTGTGGATCTTTAGAGGTCTTCTACTTTGGAGACTAAAGGAGAACCAAAGGAGCACTCATACTAACAAAGTGGAGGAGGCAAGGAGGGAGGCTAGGCTCAAGGAGTTCAAGGAACAAAGGGCTTGGAGGTGGTCCATCATTGGTCTAAAATCTAGATCAAGAGGTATAGATCTATTCCTACACTTTGTTCTTAACTTAAATGTTTTGATGCATCATATATAAACCTATGAACCTTGAAGGGGATTTGCATGACTATAACTTTGATATTATGTGATAAATGCTTCCGTTGCTTTCGTATATAAAATTTGATTTGTATATGCATGCTAGTCATATGAAATCCCATATGAAAATCTCATTAATTTCCCTTCATGGCTCTCTTCAGTGAGCCCGGTTTTGTGGGACTTCCAGTCAATAACTATGGAGTTTTCTAAGGGCGATCAGAAGTTCAAGTTGATTCATAGTCTTCCACTCCATTTATTCAGGAACTATCCTTGCAGCACATAGACAAGGGGCTTCACAATTCTAATCTTGGTATATGCCTTTATTCATTGAAGAATAATAAGTTGGAGGCCAGTGATCTTAATTTTCACCAATTGCAGGAGTTACAAGGACTGTTGGGAGAGTTTGACGACATTTTTGTGGTATCTACCAAGTTGCCACCTTCGAGATCGCATGATCATTCTATTGCCTTAGCCCCTGGGGCTAAACCTCATAACTTGAGACCTTATCATTATGGTCTCATTCAAAAAACGAAGATTGAGAAAGTTGCGAAGGAACTTTTGGATGCAGGATTTATTAGGGCAAGTCATAATCCCTTTTCATTCCATGTGTTATTAGTCAAGAAGAAAGACGGCACCTGGAGAATATGCATTGATTATAGGGAATTGAATGTTCTCACAATCAAGGGCAAGCACCATATCCCTCTCATTGATGATCTGTTGGATGAATTGCATGATTCCAATTATTTTTCGAAGCTAGATTTGTGGTTGGGGTACCATAAGATATTAATGAAACCTGATGATGTGGGAAAGACAACCTTTAGAACTCATAAGGGTCACTATGAGTTTTTAGTGATGCCCTTTGGCCTTACTAATGCACCAGCAACCTTTCAGAACTTGATGAATGACTTGTTTAAACCATTCCTCAGGAAGTTTGTGCTTGTTTTCTTTGATGATATACTCATCTATAGCACATTTTGGCAGCAACATTTGATTCATTTAAGAGAAATATTCAATGTCTTGCACCAGAATCAATTGTATCTCAAGAAGTCTAAGTGCTCATTTGGTCAAAGTGGTGTGGAGTACCTTGGACATATAGTATCTAAGGAGGGGGTGGCTACTGATTCGTCTAAGCTCAAAGCAATCCAGGAATGGCCTCAACTAAGAAATGTAAAGGAGTTAAGGGGGTTTTTAGGGCTTACTGGGTATTATCGAAAATTCATTCCCGGCTATGGAAAGGTCTATCAACCTTTGTATAATCTAACTAAAAAAGATGGTTTTGATTGGAATCATTCATCTACTAAAGCCTTTGAACAACTCAAGAGAATTATGTCTTCACCACAGGTCTTAGCACTTCCAGATTTTACTCAAACTTTTGTAGTCGAATGTGATGCATCTAGAAATGGTATATGGGCTGTTTTGCAACAAAATCGAAGGCCAGTTGCATTCTTCAGTCAAGCACTTGGGCCTAAGAATCAAGCACTTTCCACTTATGAAAGGGAGCTTATTGCCATAGTTCATGCAGTAAGGAAATGGCAAAATTATTTGCAAGGGAGGCACTTCATTATAAAAACTGACCATAGTAGTTTGAAGTATTTTTTAAGGCAGAGAACCAACACTCAATTCTAGCAAAAATGGGTATCTAAACTCCTTGGTTTTGATTATGAGATCCAGTACAGAAGTGGAAATGAAAACACCGTTGCAGATTGTTTATCTCGAATTCCAAATCATCATGATATTGTTCCTGAAGACACTATGGTATTAACTGCCATCTCTTACCCTTACTTTGGGTGGATGGATGAATTAAGGAGATATAATGAGAGTAATGCTTGGATTGTGGACAAGATCAAGGAAGACACTGCATACAAATTTAAAGATACCAAATCTGTCTTAGCAAAATATTCTGTTGATAATGGTTTTTTATGCTATAAGAATAGGGCAGTAATTAGCCCAAATTCCCTGTGGATAACCAAGCTTATGGAGGAACACCATTGCACTCCAATATCAAGTCACCAAGGTGTGAATAAAACTTATCAAAGGATCAAAAGGGGATTTTATTGGCAATGGATGAAAAGGGATATAAGGAAGTTTGTGGCTAGTGTGCCATATGCCAACAAAATAAGTTTGAGACCATTGCACCACCTGGATTGCTACAGCCCTTACCTTTACCACAAAGGGTTTGGCCTGATATTAGTATGGATTTTATAGTGGGACTACCTAATTGCAAAGGCAAATCAGTTATCATGGTCATTGCGGACATGCTCTCCAAGTATAGCCACTTCATTGCACTTGCTCATCCCTACAATGCATCTATGGTTGCTCAACTGTTCATAGAACATGTTTTCCGATTGCATGGTATGCCTACTTCCATTGTGAGTGATAGGGATCCAGTGTTTATAAGTGCATTTTGGAAAGAGTTCTTCAAACTCCAAGGTTCTAAGCTTTGTATGAGTTCGGGTTATCATCCCCAAACTGATAACAAACTAAGGTGATGAATCGATGTTCGGAGACATATCTCTGGTGTTTTGTTGGAGGGCAGCCCAAGAAGGCAGCCCAAGAAGTGGGTTCAGTGGTTGCCATGGGCAGAGTGGTTTTTTAAAATTGCTTACCACACCTCTTCGAGGTACACCCCTTTTGAATTGGTATATGGTTATTCCCCACCTCACATTGCTCCACATGAGATTGGTTCTACCAAAGTGGCTTATGTGGAACAGAGTATGATTGAAAGAGATGGCTTATTAGCTGTGTTGAAAAGTAACATGCAACTCAAAATCGAATGAAAGTGCAAGCTGACAAAAAGAGGACCGAGAGACAATTTGATGTTAGAGATATGGTTTATTTGAAGTTGGTGCCCTATCAGTTGTAATCTTTGGTGAACCATAACTATCAAAAGCTGCAACCACGGTTTTTTGGTCCTTATGCAATCCTTGAGAAGATTGGTGCAGTGGCATACAAATTGCAGCTACCTGAAGGGTCAAAAATTCATCCGATGTTTCATCTTAGCTGTCTTAAAAAACAGCTAGGAGATAATGTGATTCCATAGATTGAACTACCTCTGGTGACCGAAGATAGCCTAGCTTAAGAAATACCTGCAACAATTCTGTCTAGAAGGATGTACAAAAAGGGGAATGCAACAGGGGTTCAACTTCTAGTGCAATGGAATGGAAAGGAAGCTGTTGATACGACTTGGGAAGACTTTGACGAGTTCTAGAAACGATTTCCAGATTTTACAATGTAACCTTGAGGACAAGGTTGTTCTGAAAGGGAAGGCATTGTTATGATCTTATGATTACTTCGATCACAAGTATCAGGAAATGGGACTAAATGTAATAAGTGAGTTAGGTTGAAGGGTTATTTTGCTATTTTGTAATTCTGTAAGGAAAGTTTATTCACAATTTCTGTTTTGTATTGCCTTGTGGCAGGTTTCACATATGTATTTGGTTACCTATAAAGCCATATGGTCTCTCACTTCGAACAGTTAGAAAAATATAATACAATTTTACCAAATTTGCTTCTATTGTTCCTCTCATCTTCCTCTACCGCCATATCTGATCTTGCAAACAGGTTAAGGTCTGAGCCTCGCCGGATTTGAGTGTTATTAGTGAACCCCAAATCTTGAACCACCACGCGAATCTCTCCCTCTCTCTTTCCCGTAAAGCACCACGCGAATCTCTCCCCCTCATTCTAAATGACGGGCCGCCACGCTCTCGAAGCCGACGCGAATCAAGTCCCAAAATCAAGGTAAGGGTTTCTGATTTTCGATAGGTTTTTGTTATTTAGGGTTTAGGCTCAAATTGCATGTTGATTTCTGAGTACTTTGTCGAAATCTCCAAATAAAATTGGATGTTGGTTCTGGTTTAGGGTCAAATTGCTTTTTTCATTATGTGTGTTTTGTGTATGAACGTGGAGGAAAATGCTAACAATTTCTGGGCACTGTTCAATTATTTCTTGGCATCCATCTTCAATAGCATGATCTCTTTTGTTTGTTTGGGACCATGACATTAATGCCCCCATCCATCCACCCTCAGTGTTTTGTAGTTGCATAAGTTGAGATCCTTGGACTGGTATCAATATGTTTCCAGATACAAGAAAAACTTGACAAGGTTGGCATATGAACTACATTTTGAATGCGCATGTTGGGTGGGGACTTGTAGAATTTATGATTAACGATTGTGATTTGATTACGATGAGAATATTGAGTAAAATAATTTCATTGTCAATCTCAGTAACTGAAGTAGTTAAGAGTATTTGTTCTCGATTTTATTGTCCTATTCGATTATTTTCACTCTAGGACTTTAGCTAGGATGATACCCATTTTTTCTTCACTGTTTTTGTAGGTTCACAGCGAACTTAAACTCAAGTGATTCAAAACAATTATTTCTGCATTTGAGACTTTAGGTCTGATTATGTCTTTCCATTGTCGCTTGTATAGAAAAAGATACTCAACACCTAAACTTATAGTGATGGGATGGTTGGGATGATAGTATGTATTGAAGGTGGGGGTTTCTAACTTGGACCCTCAAATCACAAAGAAAGAAACTCTCCCTATGGATCTGCCATTGACATCTTCTTGATAGTTTACAGATTTGTTTTAGTTAAAAACTAATAATTTCTTAATAAGACATAAGTTTGTTAAGAATATTGGTGTTTGTCAAGTTGATAAGTAGTAGATAACTACTTATGTTGTTGTCTAGTCACAATCCTAGAGCAAATGACGGAGAAACAAACTGGGAAGTGAGTGAGAGTGTAAACTAACTGAGTGAGTTGGGCACAGTTCTTGAATAAGATTACATCAACTTTTCTCTGGTATGTGGGTCTATGAAAAAATAATTGCATATTTTTTGTAATTGCTCCGTTGAATACGAGGTCAATGCTTGGCAAGTGATGCCAAGGCTGCCAAGAAGGGTGGTTGAAAGGTAGTTTAATGGTTTAGTTGTGTTGGAATTATTGTGTATCGTGGACTTTACTTTGGAATGTACGATTCTCTAAAACCTGTGGTTTTAACTGGTGGCCTGCATGATAGCTTCTTTGCTAGCTTCTTATTTTCTTGTTAGGATGGGGAATTATGATTGGTGCTAGATTAGCTTCTTACCCCCATTGACATAGTGCGCCACGGATGATGAAGACCTAAGGAGCAGCATTGACACAGTGCGCCACGGATGATGATGACCTAAGGAGCAGCAGTTAAATATGGTAGCTCTTTGGATGCATTTAAGCAAAATATAAAAAACGATGGTGCTAAGTCATTGTTTAAGGGTGCTAGAGCAAACATATTGTGTGCTGTTGCAAGTGCCAATGTGGTTGCTGGCTATGACAAGTTGCAAGTCCTGATAATCCCTCTTAATTGGAGTCGTTGGGTTACAGGGCAAGATTTTCATAAATTCATTATTCTTTCTCATTCTTTCGATAACGTAATGGTTAGTTATCTTTTGCTCAGTGAAAATGTTTGCTTTTATGTTCTTTTTCTTTGTTTGCATCAAGAAATACTTCCCCGTCTGATCATGTTCTCCATCTTAACAATCTTTTGTTGTTGGTGCTTGTGTAATTAATGAAAAGTAAATCAAGTTAGTTGTTCTGAGTTTATGCACTTAATTCATAATTACTGAACTTTTTTCATTGAATTGTCAGGTGAGCAATTTAAAGTTGAAGAACCCCATCCAGAGGTAAGGCAGGTAATACTATGACAGAAAAAAATGCACTTTGATTTCGCAAAAGTTCATTTCCACCGTGAGCCGTTTATTTTCGAACATAGGTTTTCTGGTTTGTTTGTTACATTGGCTTGCTATGTTCAGGTGAGCAATTCATAATAGTTGTTGATGGGGTAGGAAGTGCTTTTATGTTTCCAAATGTTTGTATGGATCTGTTATTAGAAAGTCATAGTTACAGGGATGAATAATTTTGAGTTATGTGTGCTTGTTATCTGGTTGACCTTTGAATGGAAGTCCTTTTACGTTTTTAAACATCCTAGGGCGAGCAGATGAGGGCGCAAATGATGGCCCATAGCGACCAGATGAGGGCGCAGCTGAGGGCGCAAGCTGAGGTGATGAAGAACTATGCTGGGACAATGAGAGACCTTGTACAAACCATACAGATGTTCGGCCTCCAAATCTCGCTACAACCACCTCATCTTGCTCCACCTTCAGAGCCACCTTGCCTTGCCGATACCCAGCAGCCTGATATTAAACCTAGTTCACTTGTAGTTTTTTCTTTTTGTTCGGACATCTTGAATGTACATTTTCATATATTTTATAATTAAATACTTTTACTTGGTTAATTAATTATTCTTTAGAATTTAATTACAATATTTATCAAAAAAAATATTATTTTTGACCAAAACAAAAATAATTTTTATAAAAAAAAAGGGTTTGCGCGACACATGCCTATGTCGTACAAAGCCACTTTGCGCAATGCACGTTCTGCGTCGTGGAAAGCAGCTTTGCGCAACGCACATCCTACATCGTGCAAAGTCACTTTGCGCGACGCAGGACGTGCGTTGCACAAAGTGGCTTTGCGCGACGTAGGATGTGCGTCGCACAAAGCCGCTTTTGCGCGACGCACATTACTTGTTCGTCGTGCAAACCTTACCGTCGTTGCCTTAGTGTGACAGTCAGTACACGACAAAGGTTGCGTGGCGCAAACCCTTAGGCAACGATTTTTGACTTTACACAACGAAGGTACGTATGTCGTGCAAAGTATTTTTTTTACTAGTGATAATTCGTACATGACTATAATATTTCTTCTTGTTGTGGTCTAATAGGCCCACACTTGCTACCTCTTTTTAAAATAAGAAAGGGAAATTAAAGCAGCAGAAACAAGCTTAAAAGATATTTAGAAGCAAGAAAGCATGCATTAGGATTAGGGATGAAAAGGACTTGGTCAAAGAATATCAGCACCCATCAGTACTTTTCGATGTTGTGTCATTTGAAACTTCATCGGCCTTCTTCAGTTCTGCAAAATGTCCAAGACCTGGGGCTTTTAGGTATAATCCTCCTTCCTTTTCACTTTCTTTTTCAAATGCTACTAGCAAAGTTGAGTTGATAACTATATAATTATGGAATACATTATCAATGATTGTTCCCTCTAGGATTTTCCTTGTAGCAAATTGACAAAAATAAGATCCACCTTTTACTAGCTTCTTTAAAAAGTTTTTTTTGTATAAAATATCATGTATTAGTATAATACTTTCTTTACAATAAAATATTATGTCAAATTATTTGGGTGGTATATATCCATTGAACTGCATTTTGTAATTTTGAGTTTAGCTAAGTTGGTTAGAACAATAGTAATTTCCTTTATGTACTTAAGTTGAATCTCAAATTTTAGTAATTTAGTCTGAATTATCTTATCTTTTTTCTAGAAAAAGTAAATAAAAAAAACATCATTTTCATTGGAAAATGAGGATGATTTCACCTTGTAATGCCCTATAAAAAGATATATATATATATATATATATATATATATATATATATATATATATATATATATATATATATATATATTGAAAATGGAAGATCAAGTAAAATTAATCAAATTTTCGTAATTTAGATGAATTAGTCTGAATTATCCTATTTTTTTCTCAAAAAAAAATAAAAACATCATTTTCATTGGAAAATGAGGATGATTTCACCTTTTAATGCGCTATAAAAAAAATAAGGTTTTGATCACAAATGATTAATGAAATTGACCCACCCAATCAAGATGGTTCCTGAAATTGAAAATCGATCAATATAGTCCCTGAAAATGGCTGTTGCAAATCAATGTGGTCCTTCCGTTACAATTCCGTTAAAATTTCTGTTAAGTGCTGATGTGGCACTTAAATGAGTCCCACAAATTTAATTAAATATTATTATGTGAATAAAAAGTATTTAAATAATAAAAAATAAAAAAGAAGGAGGAGATGATTGAACACTGTTCATCATCTTTTTCCCCTCCTATTCACATATATGATGACATTGGAAGGAGAAATCCCAAGCTTGAAATTGGCAAGCCAAGCGAGGAAGAAAGAGGACGGGCCGCCGAGAAAAAAATGGTGGTCAGATTGAGAGGGAGGTAGAAGAAGAAGAATGCAACGGGTAGGATGGCAAGGAGTCTGGTGGTGCCCGAAGAAGTGAGCTTGCTAATGGTGTGAAAGGAGGATAGTGATGCCACAACCAAAATCCACACCATGAAAAAGTTTGGGATTTCTCCTTCCAATTTCATCATTTATGTGAATATTTCTGTGAATAGGAAAAGAAGAAGATGATGAACAGTGTTCAATCATCTCTTTCTTTTTTTTCAAGATTTTAATTATAAAAAATAACAATTGTTTTTTATTATTTAAATATTTTTTATTCACATAATAATATTTAATTAAATTTGTGGGATCCATTTATGTGCCACATCAGCACTTAACGGAAATTATAACAGAATTGAAATGGAATGACCACATTGATTTGCAAAAAACCATTTTCAGGGACTACATTGATCGATTTTCAATTTCAGGAACCATCTTGATTGGGTGGGTCAATTTCAGGGACCATTTGTGATAAAAAACCCTAAAAAAAATATCCATATATATTGGAACTCGAAGATCAAGCAAAGGAAATTAAAGTGATGGAAATCTGTCTTCTTAGGAGAAAGCAAGAGAGCTAGACTAATTAAAGTGGGAAAAAACTTTACATGAATTTGAGTTTATTGCTTCAATAATGCTTAAAAAACTCCGCCTGTGTAAGTTTATCTTACATTGCCGGTCCCAAGCCCGGATAAAGGAGGAGGGGGAGGGCATCAGGTAGTCGACAGCCGGCACTCCTAGTTTACGTTGAATCCTTAGGAAAATGAATCCAGAACGAAATCGCGCTAAAGCTAGGGCATCACCCGTAAGTGGCGAGCTGTGTGGCCCAAGCACAGTGATAAGTGAGCAAGGGTCGCTGTATCTCCATCAGCACCCGGATGTAGTGTTAAATGAGCAAGGGGGCCATAGAAACTTCTTTTCGAACGACTCCACTCAAAGTTGTTTAGGAGCATATGCTCCTATCAACTTTACACATGACACACAAAAGAAGTACTTTGATCCTATTAGGCGGGGGAGGTTGAAGAAGCTAGGACAGAAGAGTAGAGTTCAAGAGAGTCGAATGCGTTTAGGAACGTGGAATATAGGAACCCTAACGGGAAAATCTATAGAAGTAGTGGAAGTTACGGTGAGGAGAAGGATAAATATTATGTGCCTACAAGAAACTAAGTGGGTTGGTCTTAAGGCAAAGGATCTAGAAAACTAAGGGTTTAAACTCTGGTATTCGGACACAAATAGAACAAGAAATAGTGTTGGCATCATCGTGGACAAGACCTTGACACAAGATGTTGTAGATGTCAAGAGGGTAGGAGATAGAATCATGGCAATCAAGATTGTAATAGGACAAGAACTCATCAATATGATTAGTGCGTACGCACCTCAAGTAGGGTTGGATACGAGTTCGAATGAGAAATTTTGGGAAGACCTTGGAGACTTGGTGCAAGGAATTGCTCAGACGGAGAAGTTATTTATAGGAGGACATTTAAATGGACACGTGGGCAAGGAGACAGGCAACTATGGAGGTTTTCATGGTGGCCATGGTTTTGGGGAGAGAAACGAGGATGGGGAAGCTATCTTGGATTTTGCAATGGCATATGATCTCTTCTTAGCCAACATCTTCTTTAAGAAGAGAGAAGAACATATGATCACCTACAAGAATAGGTCATCAAAAACACAAATAGATTTTCTTCTAATAAGGAAAGGGGATCGTATAACTTGTAAGGATTGCAAAGTTATACCGGGAGAGAGCTTGGCTAATCAACATCGCTTGTTGGTGATGGATGTACATATCAAAAGAGTGAGAAAAAAGAACAAGACTTTGAAGTGCCCAAGGACTAGATGGTGGAATCTAAAAGGAGAAAAAAAAGTCATTTTCAAAGAGAAAGTAATCACCCAGTGTGTGTGGGATAGAGAGGAGGAAGCTAGCCAAATGTGGGATTCCATGGCTAGTTGTATCCGAAAAGTAGCAAAAGAGGTATTAGGAGTGTCCAAGGGCTTTGCTCCACACCAAAAGGAATCTTGGTGGTGGAATGAGGAGGTACAAACAAAGGTGAAGGCTAAGAAGGAATGTTGTAAAGCCTTATACAAGGATAGAATCGATGAAAATGGTGAAAGGTATAGAAGAGCGAAGCAAGAGGCAAACAAACAAAGCTGTGAGAAAAGCTAAGTTAGTGGCTTATGACGATATGTATAAGCGACTAGATACCAAAGAAGGAGAGTTGGATATCTATAAACTAGCTAGAGCAAGGGAAAAGAAGACAAGGGACCTAAACCAAATGAGGTGCATCAAGGATGAGGATGGAAAGGTTCTTGCTACAGAGAACGCGGTCAAAGACAAATGGAGAGGTAAAGACAGATGGAGAGGTTATTTTCATAATCTTTTCAATGAAGGACATGAAAGAAGTACTTCTTTAGGGGAGTTGAGTAACTCAAAAGAGTGTAGAAACTACTCCTTTTATCGTCGAATCAGGAAGGAAGAAGTGGTTGTAGCTTTGAAGAAGATGAAGCATAGAAAAGCAGTGGGCCCAGATGATATACCGATCGAAGTGTGGAAAGTCTTGGGAGAGACAGGTATAGCATGGCTCACTGACCTTTTCAATAGGATTTTGAAAACAAAGAAGATGCCAAATGAGTGGCAAAAGAGCACTTTGGTGCCTATCTACAAGAATAAGGGCGACGTACAAAATTGCATGAACTATAGAGGTATTAAGCTAATGAGTCATACAATGAAGCTCTGGGAGAAAGTCATTGAGCATAGATTGAGGCAAAAAACACGGGTTTCGGAACCAATTCGGGTTCATGCCAGGGCGCTCAACCATGGAGGCAATCTATCTCTTACGAAGATTGATGGAAAGATATAGAAAGGGGAAAAAGGATTCACACATGTTCTTTATAGATTTGGAAAAAGCGTATGATAGGGTCCCAAGAGACATTCTCTGGAGGATTTTGGAGAAGAAATGAGTACGAGTAGCATATATCCAAGCTATAAAGGATATGTATGAAGGAGTAAAGACTGCCGTAAGAACTCATGAAGGACAAACCGAAAGCTTCCCCATAACTGTAGGATTACATTAAGGCTCATCCTTAAGTCCTTACCTTTTTGCGTTGGTAATGGATGAGTTAACAGGACATATTCAAGGT